AGCAGTGGAGCTGGATCTTCTCTGTTCCCATGGTCCTGTGTCCTCTTGAGCTGTTGGCACCTCCCTGCCTGCAAATAACCCCAGTAAAACCAACTGGGATTGAGCCCTGTAGGGGAAAAAAAACATCCAACATTTCTTGCTTGCTGCCCAGCATGAGGGGAGGGAACTCAGTGGCAGGCACTGGCCTGGGCTGCACACAGAGGTGAGCTTCTGCTCAGCCTTTTCTCTCCACAGGTGACACATCTCTGCTGGGTTCCTGGGGAGCCTTACATCGTCCAGAGCTCAGAGGATAAAACCATCAGGTAAATCTTCTGTGTGGCCATGGAGAAGGGAGTTACAGCCTGGGGCACATGGGGACCATGGAAGAGACCAGTGCACAGGGGGCTGTTTCTTTGGTTGGTTGGGTGGTAGCTGGTCTGGTACCCTGCTGGGGTGGATGGATGCAGCTCAGCTGGATCTCAGAGCATGGTCTCTGGCCAAGGGAGGATGATCTGGGGACACTTGTGGCTGTAAGCAGCGCTGGGCTTTGATTGCAGGTAAAAAAAAGGAGAATTTATTAAAAAAGAAAGCTCAGCACAGCTGCTCTGGCTAAAGACTGATCCAGAGCAGATCAGTGCAAGGATGCAGTGAGAGCTTTGGGAGCTCAGCTTGCTGGGAGGAAAGAGGGGCACTGCCCCAGGAGGGATGGCAGCAAAGGGGGGAAGCGTGCGGGCGCAGCGAGGGCATTCAGGAGGGCACAGAGGGAAGCCCTTTGTGGCACTGATGCATCAGAGTCCTCCTTCCCCACCCCTGTTCCTTGCAGGATCTGGGACAGCCGGGAGCTGAAGGTGGCTCACGCGTTTCCAGCCAAGCGGCACATTCAGACGAGCTGCGCTGTGAGCCAGGACGGGCAGTACTGCCTCAGCTGCAGCAGCGGCTCTGCCGGGGAGGGCGGCGAGGCCACCGTGAGTTTGCTGGGCAGCAAGTCCTGTTTTTTAATGGTTTTTCTCCAGTGTCTGTGGCACACAGCGCAGGACAGATCAGTGCTCCCATTTGCATTGGCCTTATGCTGGTGTCACCAGCCAGAAGAGCTTAGTGGCTTCCTGGCTGTCCCTCTGCTGAGTCTTCTGCTCACAGAATATCCGAGCAGATATTCTTCCTGATTCAAGCACTGGGATTTTGTGTCAGTAACGGCATCAAGGAGTGCGAGGGCCTTGCAGAAAGCCAGGGATTCAGTCCTGCATCAAGAAGTTGAGATGGATGCGGGCACACGCTCAAATAGTCACCAACAGTGAAAATCCTTTGGGGTTCTTGGTTCTCCAGGACTGTGAGCGTGAGCAGGGGACAAAGGCAGTAGACATTGTACTCTGAGGACTGGCAAGGAGCTCTTTATCCAAAACCATCTGTCTGCCTTTGTAAAACAGCTCCACGTTGGCAGGTGGCAGAGCCTGAGCTCTGAGCACTGCCTGTTGCCTTGCAGCTCTGGGACCTGCGGCAGACGCGGGACCGAGTGCGCGAGTACAAAGGGCATTTCCAGACCACGACCGCCTGCGTGTTCCTTCCACGGGGCCCAGCTCTCACCTCCAGCATTGCCACGTCCTCATACGACAGCACCGTGAAGGTCTGGAACCGAGACACTGGAGGTAGGGGAGGGTCCTGCCCCCTCAGTGTGCCTTACCCTGGGGTAATTCCTGAGCTTCCTTCCTTTCTGTCTCCTGGTGGTGATGGGCACAACAAAGCCTGAAATCTCTGGGTATTACTCAAATCCAGCTGCCAGGCAGGGTGGAGAAAAGCCCCAGAGCAAACCCAGCAGCTTCTCCTTGCCCTCCAGCGAAGGAGGGTGTTTGAGTGTGTAACAGTGGAGGTGATGGGTGTCCTTAAACTTGAGAGGCAACAACAAGGTGGCTTTTAAAGATAAATCCAAGTTCAGCAACAAAAGGAAAAATTATTAAAAAGGCTAACTCCAGGGCTTTCCACAGATAGGAGTGGAAAGTTGTAAAGAAAAGTGCTGGAGGACAGAGGGCTGCTCAGCAGCTGCCCTAACTTTGGCCATCCTCTTGAAGGGGAATGGCGGGCATTTTGGGGTTAACCCTGCTCGCTGGAGGACTTGGTGAGGGCTCAGCCTCACCTGAGCTGCACACAAAGGCTGTTTGCTTGCCTGTCAGCAATGCCTCATGCAGAAACCTCTTGGGAAGCCGTTCAGGTTCACAGCCATGCTCCTGATGCAGAAATCATCAGCATTAGACGCTCCCTGGGGCTAAGCACCTCTCCAAATGCACTCATTTAACATGGGATGAAAATAGGAACCTGATGACCTCCTACAGAAAAGCCCTCACCTTCTGTTTCACTGACCTCTTCTTTCACCCTGCACACCGAGACAGCCGCGGGGTTGGCAGCAGCTTTGTTTTGACCCTGTCACCTTCACAACCGAGTGACCTCCACAGCCGTCAGCCTTAATTCAGGTGCTCTCGGATGGGTGTCAGTCACCTGGAGCTGCCTGCCTGCCTGCGTCAAATGCAGCTCTGGTTGCAGCTCAGTGTGGGGCTGGTGTCTCCGCACAAATACTGCCTCAGGGGTTTTTAATCGTGGACAAACACAAGGGCTGATGTGGCACTGGATATTGGGAATCTTACTTGTTTCTCGTTTGGTGATTTATCAAAGCTGTGTGTTGAGTGCAGGCCTTAGGAAGAATTTTTCTGGCCCATAAGCAATTTGGGAGAAAAAGGGGTGTTGGGAATGTCTCCACACAAGCCCTGTAGGGTCTGTCTGTCCATCCATCCATCCCTGCTTTCTCTCCAGGACAGGGGCAGAGTCTGACCTCAGCCCGGATCCCCGTTAGCTGGGCAATGCACAGATCCCCTGTGGGTCTCTGTTCCAGAGGGGACATCCCAATGCTTTTGGACGTGGTAATCCAAGACAGTGAGAGATGCAGCTCACCCACCTCGGGTGAGCAGACAGACATGAGCAGAGACAGGAGGTGGGAGGTTGGTGTCATCACAGCTCATCTCGGCAAACCCAGTGTCCTGAGTAACTCCTCTCTTCCCTCCCCAGCCTGCCTGGCCACCTTGTGCCTGGAGGGATCAGGACCGCTGGCCTCGCTGGCTGCCTGTGACATCTCCACACTGCTCTGTGCCAGTTGTAACTCAGGAATCCACGTACTCCGGATGAGTGACCATGCAAACCCGGCGCTGGAGGAGGTGGCAGTGTTTTGACTGTGGTAACTTTTCTGGCAGAGACTGCAACTCCCCGAGATCTTCCCCCCTGACTGCAGACAGCAGGAGACCTCCCACCTACAGAGCAACGATGTGTGATCAGCAGGGCAGGGGGATTTATTGGTGTCAGTTTGTGGGTGAGCTGTCTAGGAGAAAAGACAGCTCATGGGTGCATTCAGGCCAAGTTCTCACTCCTGAGCAAGCCTTCCATGTTTTATTTACAGCAGCTCCATGCAGGCTGCACATGATGGGGGCTAGGGGAAGAGGAGGTGAGCTGCAAGGAGGAGCCAAGGGGCAGCACTGAAGGGCATGGGGCAGGGAACGCTCAGCCTCCAGCGCTTGCTCCAGTTGAGTGGAGCTGAGCACGGTGTGACAGAAACTCTGCACTGGGATTTCTACCCCAGGAACAATGCGAGTGTAAACGCAAAGAGTCCAAAATTTCATCCTGAAGCAGCAAGAAACGTGGGAGCCTGCTGGGCCAGGACTGTCCTGTGATGAGACACTCACTAGAGGGGTTGTCCTGGCTGTGCGGCTGGGAGCTCCTGCACAGGCTTGGGCAGTCCCTTTAGCAGACACTTCTGAACCAGCCCCAGCCCCACAGCTGGGTACCTGGGCGTACACAGGAGCAGGCTGCTATTAAAGATTCTCCTGTGTTGACTACTGGCCTCTTGTCCCATTGTGTCTTCCCTGGGAGTAACCAAGAGCTGGCACGCAGCACATGGCAGATGCCACCGCACTACCTGGGAGGGAGGGGAAGCCCCCAGCTCTCTGCTAGAAGAGAAGCAACACATGAGTGGGTTGGGGTTTTTTTCCTTCTAAAAACACAATCCCCAACTGCACTGCAAGTGTTGAGAACAGGGCTGTGTTCACATTCCCAAGAAACATAGACAGCTGCCCTCTAGCTGATAAAGGGGAGAAGAACTGCTCTTCTTTTGTCTCCTGAAGGCTTTTTATGACAGCAGATGGAAGTTAAACTGTGTTGTCAAGTACCTGCAATTTCTCCATTCCTTTAGTCAGAGTGCACATTCAAAACACTTTTTGATTTTCCAGAACATGTTTGCAAAACCTCAATTTAAAGAATAAACAAACAAGAAGCTCCACACAGTATAAGTCAGAACAAGATGATCCTACACTGAAACAGCCTTTGTATCATCCCAGGTGAGACAGATCAAAAACGTAACCAGGAGATGCCTACATGGATTTGAAACACCCAGTTAATGAGACTGGGCCATGAGTTCCAGGAGCTAGGACACAAGATGGTCAGAAGTGGTACATGGAAAACAAAAATCTCCATGGCTTTTAACATCTACTGTGAGTGAACACAAAGGGGGTGCAGACCTCCACATTCAGAGCCAACCTTGCAGAGGCAGGGGAAGCAGGTGCCGTGTTCCTCTAACTCTGACAGCAAGTTTTACTTTGAATGCAAATCAAGTTTGAAGCCACAGAGTCCTACCAAAGGCTGCTGGAAACTGGAAGGTCAGGAGGGCATTAACAGAGGCTGACCACACCAAACTGCAGTGTTGTGTGGCTACCTACGAGTATTTAAAACTGGAGAAAACCTGCGAGCCTAACTCAGAAGCAAGGATGGAAGCAGATGGATCATCTCCAAGTTACAGCAGAAATCATCTGCAGTATAAAAACGAAGTCCTAAAATGTGGAAAAACATCACCCAAGATGTAACTCCAAGCAAGCCCTGGCAAACACAGATGCTTCAAAACCACCTCAGCCCCAGACCAACCAGTGACGACAGCTGCGTAACGTGTTGCAATAGCAGATTCCTTTTTCACCTTTAACGTAAAAAAGGCAACTCTTAGCTGAAAGCCATCAACCTCTCGGTTCCAGCTCATCAACAGCACCTCTGAGCTACTCCGCCGTCCACAACTTGAAGGTTCTGTCGTAGGAGCAGGTGGCTATCAGCTGGCCATCGAGGGAGATGTCCAGTCCCATCACCTTGCCCTCGTGGCCAGCCAGCGTTTTCAAAGGGGACCAGCCGGGGTGAGTCCAGATCTTTGCGGTGTTGTCGTAAGCACCCGTGAGCAGGAAGTTACCATGGTTGGCTGCAGCACAGGAGAAAAAGGGGTAAGTGAGATTTGCAATTAGAAACAGGACGTATCTCTGCTCACCAGTACAGGCATTCTCAGCCTGAAGCAGTGTTTTTGAGTGGTCCCAGCCCCTGCCAGCTCGGCTCAGGAGAGGCAGGGATGAGGAACATCAGACAGGAGGTGCTTACGTTCAAATTTCACCCCGGTCACCAGGTTCTGGTGGGCAGGAATGGTGTAGATGCACTTCCTCTGGCGGAGGTCCCATACCTTGCAAGTGTTGTCACCGCTGCCAGTTGCGACATGGTATCTGCCAAAGGATGGAGGAAGAACACGTTGTTGAGAGCTGGGGTTTGTACTCAGAGCTCCCACATAAACCATGCAAGCTCCTTTCTTACCCATTTGGGGAGAAGTTAACCCCGTAGATCTCCTTCAGGTGGCCTTCTAGAAACATGATACAGCGTCCCGTGCGCAAGTCCCACACCCGGCCAAAAGCGTCCAGTCCACTGGGAAGAGAGAACCCAAGCGTCACCCACCAGAGACTTCAGCAACTGCCAGAGCACACTCAGCCACCAGCAGAAATCGCTGGGGCCCTTGGCGGGCATCAGTCAGGAACAAAACCTTGATAATATTTCATGTCCAGTCCTGACGCAAAGCAAACTCACCCAGTCCCAGCGAGAGAGCCATCCATGTGAAAGGCAATGTCGTAGACCCCTTTGCTGTGCCCCTCCTGATGGAGGATCTCTTCTTGAGCTTCCAAGTCCCACAAGCGCCACGAGTGATCGTAACTGTGAAAACAAAGCATTTGTCCAACTAAAAGTATTTCCAAGGAGAATAACAGGATATTTCACTAACTCTGAGGGCATTTTCTTTCCAGCTGGAGCCCAACAGGGACTCACGCAAGGGGCAAACACCATGACTTGGTGTTATTTACATTGCCACAGCCCAGCTCCTGTTGAGAATGGCCAAGCCTTGCCCATGCTCCTTTGTGGACAAGCAATGGCACCCACTGGGCTACCAGCTAGAGCTCATGGTAATGTCCCAAAGCAAATAACCACATCGTCATACCAGGTAGTACCCAGGAACCTCCCTGACGGGTGCCACATCACTCGTGCCACTCTCATGCTGTGTCCTTCAATATCTGCCACCGGTTCATCACTGAAAAACAGAAACAACAATCATCAGATGCTGGTCAGAGGTGGCTGGCTGTAGCCAGGCCTTTGCAAACATTATTGTCACAGCAAGAGATGTGCTAATTAAATGCCAGGAACAGCATTTAAACGAATTACTCCGAATTCAGCCTTTTGTTCACACAGTTTTAAGTGAAACCCCTTTATCCATACTCCTGCTGGTTACAGAGCTCTCCTGGGATAATTATTAATTATTATTCCTGAAAATCAACAAGGCCCTTGTCATTAGCACTTGGAAAGTGCAGAGATAAAACACAGGCTACCTGAATTGCAGGGAGTTTATTTCTTTTCAGATGGTTTCCCCTCACCTTGATTCCCCTAATCAGGGAAATCT